ACCGTCTCTGACTTGAGCGTCGGAGTGTTCGTGCTGGGACCACCCCCAGCGTGCTTTGCAGGTACCGACGATCGAGGAGACGCAACCCGGTTTGAGAGGAGCGGTCCAGCGGTTCAAGTATTTGTGGTAAAACAAATTGGCGCCGTCTGTGGGGAGGATCAGTCTTCTACCAGAGTACTAAAGGTTGTTCTTTCTCACCAACGAAGAAGAAGAGAGCGATAGGAGTCATGGCAAGAGACAACTCGAAGAAGGACTTGGCGAAGCAGTTGGACGCGGAGTGGGCTCGGAGGGCGTTTGGGACAGGTCCGCCACCGGGGTGGTCACCATCGTCGTCGCCCGTTACTCCCAAAGAGACATTGCTTGCCCCAAATGTGACCCCGACAACCCCCACCAGAAGCCCAGAGGCACGAGGCGAACCTAGGGGGATCAGGTGGTCCGACGAACAAAGGGAAGGAGGTAGGCACCCCAGTTGAGGGGGAGGTGAACCAGTGCGTTTTGGTATCCGGAGGTGCTGGTGGTCAGAGTGGGGCCCTTGCTACCGGGCAGATGATCGTGACATGAGGACGAAACCCTCCAGGAGACAACGCTTCTGCAACACCACAAGAGAATCAGGTTATCCAGATGATCAGGTCGGAGTTGGATAGAATCATTGTTGAGGCAATAGGTCGGGCTCAGGTGGTGGATATAGCTACTAATGAACCGTTTCGACAGACTCCACCACAGCAACCACGCGCTCCTCAGCAGCAGCCACCCTCGCATCAATAGCAACATGGGCGGGGCGGGGCGAGGATGAAGATATCAGGTCGGTAATCTCTCGCCCGATGGCAGCGGCACAACCGGATGGGTTAACTTTGGAGAGGTTGGCGGCTTAGATGCACGAACTCCAGGCTCGTGTTCAAGGGAAAAGGGTCGTAGTGTCACGTGGACATCCGTTTGCAGAAGAGGTGCTGGGAGGAGACCTGCCTAGTAACTTCAGGGAGTTGAGCTTGTCCTATGATGGGTTGGCGGACCTAGCTAGGCATTTGAGGTCATTTGACAACATAGCCGTGTTGCATAGGGAGCTTGGGAGCGCCTAGATGCGTGATTGAAGAGATCGCTGTGGCAGTTCTCGGGCTCGCGGAGCTTGGGAGCGCCTAGATGCGTGTTTGAAGAAATCGCTGTGGCGGTTCTTGGGCTCGCGGAGCCTTGGAGCGTCTAGATTCGTGTTTGAAGAGATCGCTGTGGCGGTTCTCGGGCTCGCGGAGCTTGGGAGCACCTAGATGCGTGTTTGAAGAAATCGCTGTGGCGGTTCTTGGGCTCGCGGAGCCTAGGAGCGTCTAGATTCGTGTTTGAAGAAATCGCTGCGGTGGTTCTCAGGCTCGTGGAGCTTGGGAGCGTCTAGATGTGTGTTTGAAGAGATCGCTGCGGCGGTTCTCGGGCTCGCAGAGCTTGAGAGCGCCTAGATGCGTGTTTGAAGAGATCGTTGCGGCGGTTCTCAGGCTCGCGGAGCTTGGGAGCGCCTAGATGCGTGTTTGAAGAGATCGCTGCGGTGTTTCTCGGGCTCGCAGAGCATGGAAGCGCCTAGATGCGTGTTTGAAGAGATCACTGCAGCGGTTCTCGGGCTCGCGGAGCTTGGGAGCGCCTAGATGCGTGTTTGAAGAGATCGCTGCGACGGTTCTCGGGCTCGCGGAGCCTGGGAGCACCTAGATGCGTGTTTGAAGAGATCGCTGCGGTGGTTCTCGGGCTCGTGGAGCTAGGGAGCGCCTAGATGTGTGTTTGAAGAGATCGCTGCGACGGTTCTCGAGCTCGTGGAGCTTGGGAGCGTCTAGATTCGTGTTTGAAGAGATTGCTGCGGCGGTTCTCGAGCTCGCAGAGCTTGGGAGTGTCTAGATGCATGTTTGAAGAGATTGTTGTGGCAGAGCGAGTCCTCTGACTCCTGGCCAATCGGTCTGTGAGGGCCTCGTTGTGGTAATAGTCGAGCTCGCGGAGCTCGGCAGTGGCCAAGTATAAGGCGCAAGCCTGTTAGCCTCGCCTAGGCTCGCGGAGCTAGGTGTTTGTCCCATTTTTGTTACGTTTTTCGTGTTTATTTTATCTTTCTTTTTTTCCCGTTTTAGGTCGTTTCTTTAGTTTTTCGTCCATTTCGTGTTTTATTATGTATTTTCCTTCATTTTGAGTCATTAGGTGTTTTTTGTTTGTTTTTCCAGTTTTCTTTTGTGTTTTGTCATTTTTGGTGTGTAGGTCGAAAGGTTCGGGCGAATTTTCTCTTCAGGAAAAGTTGGTTTCGAGAGCATAACTGGATAGAGCGGTTCGTTAGCGATGCATAGGAAAAAACAGAACTCAATTCCGAGTTCGGACGAGCTCAAACGAGGCGAAAACGCAAAATGGCGCAGTGCAACCCAGAATCTCGCGAGTCGCAAGCACAAACTCGCGACTGTAACAGAGCCTCAAGCAGCCCAGCGACCCGCTCAACTCGCGACTCGCGAGTTAACTCGCAAGTCGCGACCCTGTCGACCCCTGTTTTTATTTTTGCTCGTTTTTACTCGTTTTAGCTCCGTTTTTCGCGCACTATATATCAAAACGAACCTCCAGACCTAAGGAACAATCTCCAATATCGTTCCTTTCAAGTTTTCTCTCAAAAAACTCAATATTGTTAGGATAATTTTCTCCGCTTTTTTTTTTTATTTTCACTCATGCTTGGATTGTTGGACACAAAGATATTTGGATTGAAATCTTGCAAGTCTTAATACGGTTGTCAGTTTTTCAATTCTATTTTATTATTGTTGATTGGTTTAATGTTCTTAATTCAGTTAACATGAGATTGAATTTAAGCATAAGGTAATCCATTCACCTAGGGTTAGGGATATTGATTCTTGTTTTGAATTATGAGGAATGTGTTTTGTTCAATCTATGCGAGTTGTGTGAATTATAGGGTTAGTTGATTGATCATCATTCTAACCTAGTTATTCAACTTGTAGAATTGAGAGGGGAGGCGTTGGTCGATTTAGGCTCGTATAGAGTAGACATGTTCATAAACGTATTGTCTATGTGTTGCTTGTTTGAATGAGTTTATCGTTTATATATGTGCTCTTGTTACGAAGAGTTATTGAGCATAGGCCTCTAGACGTGTAAGCTTGTTAAATATCGTAACTGAACAAATAATCATTCAACATAGTTTAATACTTGATGAGATTTCCCGACCCCTAGAACTTCTTCTTTTTCTCTAGAAATTTATTTGTTATTTCTTTAAATTGTTTTTCTAGTTTTGGTTTGTTTTAGTTAATTCTCCAAATCAACCATGATTAGAATGTTTAGGATTTATTTTCTTTTCATGTGTGATCAATACCAACGCTAAATTCCGAACCGTCTTCCTCGAGAGATCGACCCGGGGAACGAATCTTTTGATTCGGTTCTCGGTAAAAATAAAAATAATCTCTTGAAAAATTTAGATCATATATTTTGGGTTCTAAAGTGATTATCCACTCTGACCATGCGGCTTTGAAGTACCTCTTGAGCAAAACTCATTCTAAACCACGGCTCATCCGGTGGATCTTGTTGATGCAAGAGTTTGATGTTGATATAAAAGATAGGAAGGGTTCTGAGAAACTAGTTGTTGATCACTTATCACGCATAGTACCATCTTGATATGGGATATTATAACCATTAGGCTGAACCGGTCTATTGACCGGTCGATGAGGTCATATTATGAGGAAGTCAGAGAGATCGAGCAGTTAACCAGTCGACCAAGCAAAGCCGTCGACTAAACTATCCTTCGACCAGATACGCGATCGAGCAACCTATTCGACCTCAACAGGTCGATTACTTCGAGGACTTAACACCACGTTGTTCGGCCTAGTCATAGGCGCGTGAAGGAAGCCTCTGACAGAATTCCAGAAGAATATTACCCCATGTGCAGGGGGAAACGTGTCGAGAAGGCAGTGGTGGATAGCGATAACCACCTCTGACAGCCTACCCCATGTGCAGGAGGACACGCGTCCAAAGAGGATTGGTGCAGGCGATAGTGGCGACGGCTACCTCTGACACACGCGTTTGGTGTGTACGGACGGGCAATTAGGGCAGACAGCTCATCAAATCTGGGCAGCCCTAGGTCAGGTATCTCACCCCTATATAAAGGGGGTGAGCCTTTCTTCTTCAACACGATCATTCTACTACTTACTCTTGAGAATTGATTGAACATACACTGACTTAAGCTTCGGAGGCTCTTCACCGGAAAACCCCTCCGGTGTGAGAGTTCTTTGTAGGTGCATGACATTCAACCGGTGAGAAGGAAGGCGATTACTCAAGTTCCAGCCGGTCGAGGAGTTTTGTGTTACCATTTGGCGCCGTCTGTGGGACTTTCGTTTGAAAAGGTGTGCTTGAAGCTCAGCTATGGCGGACGGAATTCCCAAAAACTTACAGTCAACGTTCGATGATGCTTGGATAACGACCAGGCCGTTGGGACAGGGTCCTCCCTCGGGTTTTTCTTGCCCGTCACAGACGCCGATCACTCCCGTACCTGTGCTCCAAGGTGTGGGAGTGGCAACGGCGATTCCCGGATGAGACGCAGGCCCCAACCATGCTCACGAGGCCCACGCAGCGGATGCGGCGGTGATGCCACCACCACCACCACACAGCTCGACGGCAACACAACCAGGAGGAGTGAGAGTGCAACTGGGAGCGACGGTGGCGCAACCGGGAGGAACGGGGATGCAACCAGAAAGAGCGGTGGCCCAATGAGGAGCACCGCCGTGAGCAGCGGTTCAGGTCCCCGACCAGCAGGTGATAATGACCAGGCAGGATATGCAACAAATGGTGGCGGAGGCATCCGCGCAAGCAGTTCAACAAGTCACAAACAGTCTCTCCCGGGCTACGGCATCGTCGAACACTGTTGCAGGGTCACGCCAAAACGCGGAGGAGGATGAATCCAGCTATGGTGGAGGCGGGCCCACACATGACCGGGAAATGGAGAGGATGGCGGAACAGCTGCGCCAATTGCAGGCTAAGGTGGATGGTCGAGCGGAGAGGCGCGCTCGAGGACACCCGTTCTCGGCGAACATACTAGCAGCACCCTTGCCAAATAATTACAAGGATACCAACTTGGTGTTCGATGGGACTTCTGATCCGTCGAGACACGTGAGGACATTTGAAAATATGGCTGTGTTGCACGGATATACTGATCCCGTTAGTTGCAGGGCCTTTTTATCGACCCTTAGGGGAGGGGCGCTCGACTGGTTCCAACAGCTCCCCCCAGGCTCGATAGTGGACTTCGAGGATTTTGCGGAGAAGTTGACAAATCAATATTCGAGCGCGGTGGATCAGGATAAAACGTATTTGACATTGATGGCGATGAGACAAGGCGAGAAGGAGTCACTGCGTAAATATGTCGCTCAATACAATCAGGCTTGTTTGGAGATTCCATCGGCGGTCGACGAGGTCAAGGCGGGAGGATTGATAAGGAGTTTGCGGGCAGGATCGTGTCGGACTTCTCTGGCTAAGACTCCTGCTCACACGTATGATGAGGTGTTGAGGAGGTGTAGGAAATATATTAATCTCGAGGAGACTGAGGCGGAGTTTTCCAAACTAGAAGAGCTAGGTCGAGGGGAGTCGAAGAAGGATAAAGCAGTTTCGCCTAAAAGGAAAGCCTCACCCAGGAGGGAGGGGCGAGCTAAGTAGGATCGGGGGCGAAGGGACAGGTGGAAGGACCGGCTCATCTCTGGAGGGAAGAGATTCCATGATTACACCCCACTGAACGCGAAGGTAGCTGAGGTTCTGATGGCCATGGAAAAAGGGATAGATGGGAAAGATGTGACGTGGCCAAGGTCGAGGTTCGAGGGGCCCACCCAACCAAAGTCGAGGAGATATTGCCGCTTCCACAAAGACTATGGCCATACCACTGAGGATTGTCGGCATCTCAAGGACGAGATTGAGCGCCTTATTCCAGCAGGGCATCTCAAGGAGTTTGTCTATCAGGATAAGGGGAGGAGGAAAGAGAAGAGAAGGTGTCGGGAGGACTCGGTAGAGAGGAGCGAGGAAGATGATGATGAGGATGCACGAGGCGGTCGAGATGGTCGAAAAAGAGATGAGGGAAAGAGGAGGCGAGGAAGTAGGGAGCGGGAAAGAGAAGGAGATGGAGGCCAAGTAAAGAGAGGCACGATATATATGATTTCAGGAGGACCGACTGACGGGGACTCGAATAATGCGAGGAGAGGCCATGTTGTAGCAATGAAAAGGAAGAGGGAAGAGGTGAGTATTACAGCCCGGGTGCCAGAAATCAGTTTACGGGCAGAGGATGCAGCAGGGGTGGTGGTGCCTCACAATGATGCCTTGGTAATTACGGCCGAAGTTGCAGGTTTTGATGTGAAAAGGGTGTTTATAGACACAGGGAGTTCGGTCGATGTCATGTTTTATGATTGCTTTGTGCAAATCAATCGGGAGTTGAATGTGGAGCTGAAGCCGGTGGCCATAGCCTTGTATGGTTTTAACGGCGGGGAGGTCATGCCAATGGGAGAGGTGACTCTATCGGTAGCATTGGGAAAGGGAGCAACTCGGAAGGTTCGAATGGTGAGATTTGTGGTCGTAGGAGTTGAGTCATCCTACAACATCATAATGGGGAGAACGAGCCTGAATGCGTTCCAGGCGGTCGTATCCACGTACCACATGATGATCAAATATCCGGTGGGTAAAAACGTTGGTGAGATCGCTGGGGATCAACTTACCTCGAGAAGCTGTTACCAGACCACTGTGAGCAACAATAAGCAACTGGCGAGGAAGCAGATGCATCCTAAGAGCGAGGAAGTTAATCGACCGGGAGGGTCGAGGTCGAAGGAGGAAAGACATAAACTAGAGAAAGGGAAGGAGAATGCCAAAATGCAGCCAGGTGGCGAAGTGGAGGAGATACAGATGGTCGAGGGTTGCGAACAAAGGAAGTTCCGGATCGGGAAGGAATTGGAGGAGCCGGTGAAATCGAGGCTAATTAAAGTGATAAGAGATTTTGCGGATGTGTTCGCATACTCAACGGAAGAGTTGACCGGCATCAAGGCCGAGGTTATCGAGCACCGGTTGAACATCGACCTCACGGTAAGACCGATGAAGCAAAAGAGGAGACACCACGGGGCAGAGATGGATAGAGTAATCGAAGGGGAAGTAGAAAAACTCTTGGTGGCGGGTCACATAAAGGAGATCCAGTTCCCAGAGTGGCTATCGAACACGGTGATGGTCTCGAAATCAGAGGGAAAATGGCGGATGTGTATAGATTTTCGAGATTTGAACAAGGCATGCCCGAAGGATTTATATCCACTTCCCAGGATCGACCAGCTGGTCGACTCCACAGCCGGGTGTGAGCTACTCAGTTTGATGGACGCATCCCAGGGTTATCATCAGATCCCGCTGGCTCGAGAGGATTGGAAAAGGGTCAGCTTTGTAACAAGCCGTGGAATATACTGCTATGTGGTGATGCCATTCGGTCTAAAGAATGTAGGGGCGACATATCAGAGGTTGGTGGATAAAATTTTTAAGGATCAGTTGGGAAGGAACATGGAGGTATATGTAGATGATATGCTGGTAAAGAGCAAAGAGGAAATTGACCATGTGAACGACTTAAAAGAAACATTCATGACCCTCCGGAAGTATGGGATGAAGCTGAATCCCGCTAAGTGCTCTTTCGGGGTCAAATCTGAGAAATTTTTGGGCTACATGGTCACGAAGAGGGGGATCGAGGTCAACCCGGAGAAGGTGAGGGCGGTGATTGAGATGCAGCCCCCCACGAAGGTGAAGGAGGTGCAGATCTTAACTGGTCGAATAGCAGGCCTGAGCTGCTTTGTTTCTAAGGTAGCCGAGAAAAGTGGGCCCCTATTTAAGACACTCAGGAAGAGCTCGAAATTCCAGTGGACGGAAGAAGCCCAGAAAGCATTCGAGGAGTTGAAGAGGGTGTTGGTCGATCTACCACTATTGGCAAAACCGGCGCAAGGGGAGGACTTGGTGTTATATGTATCCATCGGTGAGACGGCAGTGAGCTCTGTGTTATTGCGGGAGGAAGGGACAGCCTAATTTCCGATCTATTACGTAAGTAAGGTGATATAAGGGGCGGAGAGGAGGTACTCAGAGATTGAAAAAGGGGCCTTGGCAGTGGTGGTCACCGTAAGGAAGCTGAGACCATATTTCTTGGGACATAGGGTGAAGGTCCGAACGAACATTCCATTGGGAGAAACACTGGGTCGACCCTCCGTGTCGGGGCAGTTAGTCAAATGGGCGGTCGAGCTGAGTGAATACACAATTATCTACGAGCCAAGGAGGGCGATTAAGGCTCAAGCACTGGCTGACTTTATACAAGAGGGGACGGAGGAAAGCGAGGAGTCTGAAGGGGTGTGGCAAGTGTTTGCAGATGGATCAGTGTCAAGGGCTGGAGGTGGCCTAGGCATCGTACTTATGTCGCCGAAAGGTGACAGCCTGGAGTTCACAGTCAAGGTGGCCTACCAGATATCAAATAATGAAGCGGAATACGAAGCGGTCATTAAGGGACTAAAATTGGCCTTAAGTGGCGGAGCCCGAGCAGTGCAGGTGCATTCAGACTCACAATTGGTGGTGGGTCAATTCCAGGAAGGGTTTGAGGTCCGGGAGAAAAGGATGATGAAGTATGTGGAGGAGATAAAGAAGCTGCAGAGAGAGTTTGATTCTTTCGAATTAATCCAGATACCTCGAGGAGAAAATGGTCGAGCGGATCTGTTAGCTAAAATGGCACAAAGTCTGGTGGACTGCAAGAGCAGAAGTGTGACCTTGCTGCACATGGAGAAGAGTGTGGTCGAGAAGGAGGTGGTCGAGATAGAAGAAGTCGAGGATTGGAGGGCACCGATAATAAAAGAATTGAAAGAAGGAGCTGTTAAAGTGATAAGGAGATCTTTCGAGCATGGAGGGATTCTCTACAAAAGGTCGCACGCGGCCCCCCACTTGCGATGTGTAATCGGAGGAGAAGAGTGATATGTGTTGAAGGAAATTCACGAGGGCTGCTGCAGCGACCACAGCAAGGCGGGTTCCTTGGTAGCAAAGGCTCTAAGAGCAGGATATTTCTGGCCAACAATGAGAGAAGATGCCAAAGAGATGGTGCGGAAATGTTTGCAATGCCAGAAACACGGCCCACTCATTCACCATCCAGCCGAAGCCATGACAGCGATGAGTTCTCCCATCCCGTTCGCCCTATGGGGGATCGACCTGGTTGGGCCCATGCCCCAAGGAACCGGACAGAAGAAGTTCTTGATTGTCGCGGTCGATTACTTCACGAAGTGGGTGGAGGCTGAACCCCTAGCAAAAATTACGGAGGATAAAGTGATACATTTTCTATATGATAACATATGTTGCAGGTTCAGAGTTCCTAAAGTGTTAGTGTCGGACAACGGGACCCAGTTCAATGGCAAGCGGATTCGGGCATGGTGTGAGGACATGAAAATTGATCAACATTTCGCTTCAGTCGCACACCCGCAGGCCAACGGGCAGGTCGAAGTGACCAACAGAATTATATTGAATGGTCTGAAAACAAGGTTGGAGAAAGCATCGGGAGCATGGGTGGATGAACTTACTTCGGTGCTATGGGCGTACAGAACAACTCCCCGATCGACCACTGGGGAAACACCGTTTAGTATGGTATACGGCATGGAGGCTTTGTTGCCGATAGAGGTCGAGGTTCAGTCCCAAAGATCGAGCACATATGATCGAGAACAGAATGAACATATGATGATGGCAGCGCTCGACACAATCGAAGAGCTTCGAGGAAAGGCAACAATCAGAGTCGAGGCGTACAAACAAAGGATGCGAGCAGCGCATGATAGGAAAGTGAAAACACGAAGATTCAGAGTGGATGACTTGGTGTGGAAGAGAGTCGATGTGCTGAAGCACGTCGGGAAACTAGAGCCAAACTGGGAAGGACCATACCTGGTCGAAAAGGTTCATGCTGGAGGGGCATACTCTTTAAAAGATGCTGAAGGAAGATCCCTAGCCAGGTCATGGAATGTGGCTATCTTAAAGAAATATTATGCTTAAAATTTTTTCTTCTTTACTTATTACCACCGATGTAATGAAATGCTTTTCTCGATAATGAATGAAATGGCATATTGAAGTTTCTACAAGTTACTATTTACCAAATTAACTTTACATGGTCGGACTCCTGTGATTAACCCTGATGACAGGCTGTATGTGAAAAATCCATCACGACTAAGGCCACGAGGCTGGATGGTCGTATGTAACGATCACCTCTTTGAAGGTGGGCATGCGTTCAAGGAAAAAATCCATCATGATTAAGGGCATGAGGCTGGATGGTCGTATGTAACAACCACCCCTTTGAGGGTGGGCATGCGTTTCAAAGGAAAAAATCCATCATGATTAAGGCCATGAGGCTGGATGGTCGTATGTAACGACCACCCCTTTGAGGGTGGGCATGCGTTTCAAAGGAAAAAATCCATAATGATTAAGGCCATGAGGCAGGATGGTCGTATGTAACGACCACCCCTTTGAGGGTGGGCATGCGTTTCAAAGGAAAAAATCCAT